GTCATATTCCCATATGAAATAACAGCATTTCGACTCAACCTGTACGTTTGTTCGGGGCTGGTTCGTCACCTATGATTATGTATTGAACAAATAAGCCAAAATAACGTAACTATTTTAGTATATCAGAATTTCACGAAGTTTCAACCGTCATATTCACCTGCGATGCAGCGGTTCGACAGACATTGGGAGAACGAATGAATATTGTACGAACGAGGCAGCATATTGTATGGAGGGGGCAAGGGTTATTTTCGTTCAACATAATTGCAATATTTTTTTGTTCGTACAACGTAAATTGAAAAAATATATTCCGTAATTCTGTAATCACAGGCTAGACATACAGCGTAATCAATCAAATTTTGTTTTGTACACTGTAAAAATGTGTTCGTTTTTCTCGGTACGTACAAGAATGTACATTTAAATAAAAAAAGTCGTAAAGAATAATCAAGGGAAATTACATTTTTGAAACTGTAAAAAGACTAGATGACACAATTCACTGCAAAATTCAATTTTCACTGTAAACTGTAAAAACGTCTTTTTTTTCTTGTAAATTGTAAAAAGCCCTTTTTATTTCTCGTAAAACTGTACCAGTTAACCCCCCCCCCCCATCTGTATGACATACTCTCGCAAAGATAACACGTGATACGCGTGACCGGCTTGTCGTCGTTCTCAGTCCAGGTTTTCCATACCGATTGCCGACGGACGCCATGTTTGCGCAAGCGGGGTAGCTAGAAGAACTATAAAAACAGCTGAGAAACGTGGATTGCCAGTTAAAAAAAGAAAAAGAAAAATTTTGTAAAGACAATGAGCTGAAAACTAGATGTTACGTATGTGTTTCGCTAAGTAAAAATAGACCGTAACATGTTTTTTCAACTTACAAAATATCCCCATAAATATGAAAATATTACTCTATAGCCAAGGATAATTTGCATATTGACTATCCTTGCTTGGGCAGAATATTGTTCAAATATTCAGAGGCTGATACGAGTTACTTGAATAATGTTAGCACTTTTATTTGAGAGTTTTTTTTTCGCTTTGAGTTGGAAACATAGATGAGCGATGTATTGCGACTCTACGCGTGCAACAACAATAAACGCACATAAATGTTATCAATTCGGGAATCGGGAATTTGTTGCCCAATAAAAAAGGGCAGTTTTATTTGTTGCTCTATTTATGGAATAAACAAACATATACTAACTTTAGCACGAACATTTATTTTTGGTTTTGACATTGTTTTTACGTTGTGTGTTGTACGACACGGGGCTACGATGGCGGCTCATTTACATAATGTGTCGTAACATCATGATTACCAAAAATATTACATGTGGCAATTGAGCGTAGTTATTTAATGGCTTTTGATAGTTTTGTTTGTACAAGAAAATGATTCTGAAAGTTTTATTTAAATAAGCGTAACCATAACATTAAAAATAGAAAAGAAAGTGTTAAAATGCGTTGTTACAGTACAAGTTGTGCATCCAATGCAAAAGTCAATTTCTAAAAAGATTGTCATATCTAATTTTCATAATTTTGCAGTCAATACCAATATTATTGAGCATGATTGTAGCTATGAATGTCGTAGTACATATGAAATAATAGTACTTACTATAAAAATTAAATGTATTCCCGTTTCCTTCAATGTATGACCATATTTCATGGTTTTATTATTATTTTTTACGCTTTTTCCATGTATTAAAGCGCCGTTACACAAAACAATTCATGAGGCAACGCATCAATAAACGCACGAGCCAACAAGTATCCTGAATACGACAGAATACTGAAGTTTAAGTTCTGTAACAACATTATTATTGGAAATATCAATCATTGTACACTGAATTGTATATAATTAAATTTCCTTACCAGTTGCTACTAGTTTGGTATTTATATCAAATATATATAATCCTTTGCTTGTTGCATTGTTGCTGTGTGTGAAACCCAGTGCCTTTTAATGTAAATGTAAAGCTTGCTAAATTATATTTGCATGTCGTACGATGGATTCAGTTGTAGACAGCTTGTCGTTTACACATGTAATTACTATGAACGGTGAAACTTAAAGACGATTCTCATCGAAGGATACACTTCCGGGTCAGCACTAATTCAAGTGAATGAATTATTGGATTTACAGTGAGCGATGCACATTAATCTGGACAATAAAGTTTTTTTTTTTAATTTCGTTAACGAATAGATTTATATGCTGGATATGTTCATTATTTAATAAACGTTGCAGAGGAAAGATTGTTCAAACACAATGGCGTTTGAACAAAATTCATTGCATCACTTGTGGACCAACATTCATCATGGATTTGTTGGTTCGAGAATCGATTGATTTCGTTAGTTCGTGAATCGTGAATTACCCTAACCCACATAAATCCAGATTTAAATGTAGCTGTAGTCAATGAACATTCAGAACTTTGACGATTCATTTAAAATATATAATAGAATTATATTTGTTGGGTAACAAATGTTGCTATTGTACAAATATTCAAACAAACATCACATGCGTTGGAGTGTCGTATTTCGCATTGCCAGACGTGATACTGACCACTTGATACTCTCAGTATTATATATATGGTCGCATGACCCCCTAGCATACTACATTTTAGTACGGGACACGTTGAGGGCACATATAAAACCCAATCAGTGCACGTGTATATTTATGTTTTTTATTATTCGTTGAATATAAATATTACAGTTTTGCTGCAAAAATAACGTGTTTTTTTCATAATCGTATATTTTCATCAACATGGCACAAGAACTTAGGGGGTTAAAACAAACTACACGCTTTCATGCATATTACATTAATTATACGAAACTTTAATTCAGAATACATGCACATGCAATAATAAACAATGACAATGTGATGCCAACAGCAAGTGTAATATAGCAACATATGTACAATATGAGCTTTAATTTCTATGATCGGCATTTGTATTTAATATCTACGTATGGTATGACATTGACAACTACTTACAAAATAATAACACTGACGTAATTTATTTCACGAAAAGTAGACATGTACTATGTTTTAAAAGGAGGTGGTAGTCGCGCCGCGTCGGGTTCGATATGGGACTCATGGCGACGTATAGTATACAGAGCGTGGAAAATACATCGTTTGTTTACATGAAATTCGAACACGCGCTGCGTGACTACCAGCGACCTTTAATATGGATGTTTGATATTAGCACAGTTTAAGTATTGAAAGACCCGTCATAGTAGCCGTTTTGTTGTGATTACGAGAATTTGAAACCGGTGCTTTCCAATTGTTCCAGCGCGGTTGAAATGATATTCGGTTTGGTGTGGTGCAAGGTATGGGAATCACGTTTGCCGGTTTGGGGTCGATACTACTACGAGTGGTTTATACAACAGACTTTACAAATACTACAAGCGATGTACTTTTAATAAATGACACATGTTTGTGAGGGCAATATTATGGGCATGACGGACTACTTGACGAACTTGACAGTTAGGGATATCTTATACTTTATACAGTTGTAATAACACAAACGGAGAAAGGATTAATATAGTACTAAAAGTTGTATTGTATTGTATTATACGTATTGAAAATGCTCAAGTAAATAATGGATATTTTTTTCTGGATACAAATGTAACGAATTTAACAACTTACGGTTGTAGAGGGCGCACTTGGTTCGGCGGTTCTGAAAAGTTGTTCTGGGGTTTTTATTCTGGAAAGGAGTGTGTTTGCGTCGCTGCTTCGGGGTGCACCGGTTGACGTGGTCGTAATGACCCGTGGCAACTTGTTGTTTGATTTCTACACCATGAGTGATTATCGAGAGTTCACGTGTAATAAAATTTGGCAAATTGCAGCTCTCAAAATATTAATTTCTTGGAAAATACGTATTAAAGATTATTAAAAAGCAGCACAGAGAGTCAATAATATGATAGTTTATTTGTAGTGAGAAGTATCGATATCGTGGCTTCGCAATGGCAAGTGAGTAGAGTTAAGAGGCTTGTTAAGATCGATGTGATACAACTTGAGCGAATAACTGTCGATTTTCGTCTTTTCTTATTCGGGTGCGGTTGAAAGCACTCTCATTCACTTTACCTGTGAGGGCGTTTGTATCATGCATCACTCCGATAATCCACGTTCACATCGAAAATGTCTGACCCGTCCTAAATAAATGATACAACAAATGTGCGTTCACACACACTTTCGTAAAAGAGTTCTTCAAGAACTGATCAACACGTATATTTGTACTGACCCGCAACATTTCAGTGGACCACATAATTTTTAGATGGCCATTGCTTCATTGTATTCTAGATTATTACACAATTTCCGACTTTCCCAACAAACAAATACACAACGCCCGACTGTACATCGGGTGGACACGTCGCAGTGTCGGTTAGCGAATATTTCCGAGTGTACGCGAACACGTCCGAATATAAGCGAACATTTTTACGCAACTCGTGCTGCACATTTCTAAAGTATGCCATTACGTACAGCTGTGAGTTTTAATTCGGCGA